ATTGCTTTTTAAAAATAAATTAAAAAAGAATTTTACCAATATGGAATATCATTCAGAAGCACGCAGTGAAAATTGTCGTCATTGGACAACAATGATGAAGGGAAAACTTAGTATTTTAAAATTTTATTCAAATAAAAAAAAAAGATTTAAGTAAACAAATAATTCAGGGGCTAAAGCAATACTAGCTTAATATGAAAATTTAATAATATGTATTATACAAAAAAAGGACATGTGAATAAAATTAAATTTCATGCATTTTTTCACGGTATCCGGACTTTTCACCGAAGTCCATTTCACCGAAACCAATTTCGCCGAAGCAATTTCGCCGAAGTGCCATTTCACTTTCCCCGAATGAACATTTCCCCGAATGGCTATTTTACCGTAGGACATTTCGTCGAAGATATGAATTTTTCAGTTTTCCTTTTCTTTTTTATAAGACAAACGAATTATTTACACATTACAATTTGCTTTTGTTTATTTTATTTAATTACAGTAAAGGAAAATTAATTTTATGTAACAATTTCATCGTAGATCGTACTCATCAATTTTCCGAAACATTTTCATTGATTAAGGAATTATGTTAATCACTAATGTTTTCAGCGAAATGACGCCCATTCAGTACCGAATGTGTAACTTACCAGTTGTGCTACGAAAAAAAAAAAAAAGAAATGTAACATTTTTTCACATTTACTTGTTAAATAAATGTATTAGGATTCAATCAGTATAGTACCTGTCTCTTATACACATCTAGATGTGTATAAGAGACAGNAGTTAAGATCATTACTATTTGTTAAAAACAATTACCAGATATTAAAAGCATTTATGCAACAATACAATCAATAATTACGCTGAACGTAAATTTTAAAATTTTGAAACGCTTATTTTATGCCCAGTAAAAAATATGCGAAGGTTTTATTATAGAAGACTTTTCCTATCGAAATTGTAAAAAAAAAAAAAAATAATAATTTCAGTTTCTATATAAAAATATAAAATATTCATTCTCTTATTAAATTTCAAAAACTTTTTCCTGTATTATTTCTGTAAATTTATAAACTTTTAAAATTCACTTCTTAAAGGAGATTTTTCAAAATTGAGTCATCATGTTTCAAAGAGACACTATAAAGCTGATTCAACTTTGAGCTATTTTAGAAATAATTAAATTTTGGTTTCGGCCTATTTTTAAAAACTACCATCAAAGAAATTTTTTAACCTATTTTTTTGGTATTTCGTCAGAGATATGATTATGAAATCGGCACGCAGATCTGATAAGAAAGATTTTTTTTAATTGATTTACCGGAATTTAGTTTACCTGGTTGAAGGTTAATATTTGAAAACAATCAGGAACTTCACGTGCACAAACATAAATAAAGTATCGATCCTACTTTAATGCATTGTCACGTGATGCACTTACAGTTGACTCCTGAATATATGCAGTTAATCGATCAATTTGCGTGATCATTAGAATAAAATAAATAAAACAAATATCAAATTGCGTGATCTTTAGAATAAAATAAATAAAATAAATCAATTTGTGTGAATATTTAGAATACTTTATTATACAAAATTTATTTATTAAATCATAAATATATGTACTATATGTATTATAATTATTAATTTATTAAGTATATAAATAGTGAAGTTATAAAAGGATTTATAATATTTTTTATCGTTTGATATTTATAATTTCTCAGTTTAATGAGGCATTTCTTATTCTATAATCCGTTCAACACTACAAACTCCGCCATCGCATGATTTTTATTATCTCATAATTTTTTTAAAAAAAATAATCAAAAATTTATTCGTTTAAAGTTCTTTCAATTACAAAAAAAAAATTGAAAAATAATTCATCTGAGTTACACAAAAACATATTAATTTGGTGATATGCAGATTAAAGTAGTAATAAATAGAGTGTGATTTAAATAAAAGTATGGGATTTAGACACGGCTACACGCTGCGGCTGCGCCAATATATGCATAACCCTTCTTTGTTTCCATTTTTCATAAGTATCGATACCCCCTGCAGGTTGATGAAAAAAAGGGATATTTTGACGAGGCATATTATGTGAAAAAAAAAGGGATATTTTGACGAGGTAAAAAAAATGTATCAAATTTTACAAGACTCTTTACTAGTTCGTTAATTGTAATCAAAAGCAATTACTTATTCCCCTTCGTAGAACGAGCAGTAAAAATGTGCATATAGCTAACGTAAATAGTTCAAATTATAAGTCCAAGTTAAAAACATATTGTCATAAAAAGTCGAAGATTTTTTTTTTTTACTGTGCATTTTCTTTGTTCAAATTATCTACCGTACACAAAATCGTGGCGCATGTACAAATATGATTTAACTATGTGACAGAAATATGTGACAAATATAAATGAAAATTAGAGTGGCGCGATTTTTCATTTTTTCGCGTAAGAAAAAATATTTTATTGTTTTATTTGGTTCCTTAGAAAGAATAATACACTAGAAAGAAAAATATTCTAAAAAGAAAAATATACTAGAAAAAAAAACCCCCGCCAAATTTTTTTTTTTTTTTCCCGCCCAAATATATTTTTTCTTACAAAAAGAAAATTGCACCAGACATAAAAGAAAAAACTATATTCAAAAAAAATTTTCGACAAATGCATCGGTTTGTTCTACTTGTTCCGAAATATTTTCAACGTCGTTATAGTCGGGCGCAGCAATATAATTTTTTTTAGTAATTATACGTGAGAGCCTTCTAATGTGTTTTCGCTTATGATGCTTTCCGAATATGTCGATTAATTTCCTTTGCAGAAATGACCATTTTCGCTTATAACACTTTCCGAATTCTCGTCTTAATTTCATTTTCCATTTCGTGTCTCTTTCACAATTCCTGTGGCATTTTACCCAATTGCGGATATATTCCAGTTCGTTGGTATTGAACTTCGCGACAAGCGCTTGATTACGTCTTTGTTTACTAGATTGACGATTTATATTAAGAAACGAAATAAGATATTTTTTTTAAAAAAAAAAAACTTTTAGAATAACTTACAGTAGTCTTTTGAACGTTTTGACACGAAATTCATCTAGATTCGACATTGTTCGTTAAAAATAAAAAAGTGATTATTTCTTGTATAGGTGAAATGATAAAAATGTTAATGAAAAAGTTTTTTTTTAAAAAAAAAAAAAAAAATTACAGAAATGCGTCAAGAACTTTTGAATATATACTTATCGTCAAATCATAATTACCATATTTGTAAACAAAAAAGTTCGATACCTAAATTATTATTATTTATTGTATATATTTATGAAGATTAAATTAAAAGTTATTTTGTGTAATGTAATTAATAATTAATATTTTGGGGTACAAGACATTTCCGAATTCGTTCTAATAAATGAACATGTAAAAAAAAAAAGAACCTCATCTTTAAAGTTCAGGCGGATCACATGTTCCGACAAGTTATTATACAAGTTATAGTAAAAAAATAGCAAATTTTTTTTTTTGTGGAATATAACATATGGTCATGTTATGCATATTTGTTGATAGTTGTTCCAAGCAAACACATTCCATGAGACGAAATTTGGACTAGCGATTATTATCTTTTCTTACATACGAAAGCAAAATTTTTAGCTGTTTGATTAAAAGATAACAGATAAAACCACGATGAAAACATCCGTGAGAAGTAGTTGTGATCAACAGAAATGCACAAAGAAAGATCTTCATTAAACATGGAATTTTGGGGTTGTCAGAAAAAAAATTTTTTTCTTACAATTTGGTTGGTTCACATTTTATCACACCAGAAAAACCAAGGTAAATATTTATTTTGCTTATTAATTATCTTTCCATAATTTAGGGGAAAAACGCATTATATTTCCTGTTTTTTAAAGAATTGATAAAAAAGTGATTTTGTGGTATTACATTTAATGCAAGCTGCGCATGGTAAAAATCTTGGTCTTGAAAGTGTCGCTCCGAGCTCCGATTACGATTTTAATTCTATTTTAACTATTTTAATAATTTATTAGTTATTCAATTCATTTAGTTTATTTTATAATTTCTTATTTAGAAATTACTCGTAGATCGTTTAAAAATATTAATATCATATAAGTTAAAAAAGTTAAAAAAAAATAAATGAAATAAAATAAATTATTAAAATTTTTTTTTTTGAACATTTCGTCATTGTTGAAAAATTTGATAGGTTCCGCTTCAAGTAATATAAATCGTGAAAGTATTACCAATCTTTTAACTTGTTCTTAGCTTTACTCCTTAAAATTTTAAATGTATTGTTTATTTATATTGACAAAGAATAAAAAAATTAAATATGTACTTCGGAAAAATTTTTTGTTGATCTTTTTTTAGTAAACACGGTTGAGAAAATTTTTAAGTTTAGCGTAGTTTTAAAAAAAAATTTTTTAGCGTAAATTTTTTTTTCTTTTTTTTTTTATTAGATTATTTTTTTATAAAATAAAAAATTTTTTTTTATTAATAAAAATAAAAAATTTCTTTTTTTTAATATAGGTAAAGATTTTCTTTGTTAGAATTTCTTTCGGAATTTTTTTTGATAAAAAATTCCGTTAGATGAGTTAGATGATTTTTTTGTTGATAGGAATTTAGAGTTTTTTTTTGATATTTATTTTTTTATTTTTATTTTTTTTTCATTGAGAACTTTTTTTTATAGAAAATTCATTGGAGAATTTTAAGAATTTTTTTTTTTGATAGATCATTTCGTTAGTAAATTTTTTAACAGGGCAAGAATAACCCTTAGAAATATTAAACAAAATCGAGTTTTGTAAAGAATCAGGAGCCGCAGGTAGTTAACAAAACTATTTTCGGCTTTTCATATAGTTAATTTAGAATCTAAATCAATACTAAATGTTTAATTTCTATATAGACTGAGTGAAAGATAAGCGTGTTCCATGGGTTTGATCCTCATCACTTCTTCTTTCTCGCCTCCTTCATCTTCGTATATAAGATCCACCTCTTCTTTCTCTGCTTCCTTCACTTTTGTATATAAGATCCACCTCTTCTTTCTCTGCCTCCTTCACCTTTGTATATAAGATCCACCTCTTCTTTCTCTGCCTCCTTCACCTTTGTATATAAGATCCACCTCTTCTTTCTCTGCCTCCTTCACCTTCTTATTATAAGATCCACCTCTTCTTTCTTTGCCTCCTTCACCTTCGTATACAAGATCCACCTCTTCTTTGCCCAGATCACCTTCGTATATAAGATCCACCTCTTCTTTCTCTGCCTCCTTCACCTTCTTATTATAAGATCCACCTCTTCTTTCTTTGCCTCCTTCACCTTCGTATACAAGATCCACCTCTTCTTTGCCCAGATCACCTTCGTATATAAGATCCACCTCTTCTTTCTCTGCCTCCTTCACCTTCTTATTATAAGATCCACCTCTTCTTTCTTTGCCTCCTTCACCTTCGTATACAAGATCCACCTCTTCTTTGCCCAGATCACCTTCGTATATAAGATCCACCTCTTCTTTCTCTGCCTCCTTCACCTTCTTATTATAAGATCCACCTCTTCTTTCTTTGCCTCCTTCACCTTCGTATATAAGATTCTGCCTCCTTCACCTTCGCATATAAGATCTTTCTCTGTCCAGATCAGATTTCACATGTATTCACCCTATTTGGTTCCAAACACCAATTAATACTAATGTTGGAGAAAGTGCTCATGCGAATATAAACCGTGATGGTCGTGATCTTTCTCTTCTTTCTGGAATTGCTAGGTAAATATTATTTATTTTTATTTACAAGATTAAAAAATTCGATTTTTTTTTTTTAAAAAAAATTAATTTAATAACTTTATTTTTTAAAGAAGACGCGATTTTGATAATAGACAGTGAGAGAGTGTACATATACATAAAAGTATAATGTTCCAGATTCCTATCGAAATAAATCAGAACTGTTTCAATCAAATCAAGGGTAACTGGTAACATCTTAATTATTTTTAATATATATATATATAAATTCTTAAATTCTAAATTCTAGCTAATATAATTTATATTTATATTTTATTATTATTTTAGAAAATGGGACATATAAGAATTAGAGACTTGGCTTCGGGACGCTATTATGCAAGGCGGAACTTGATGGTCACGAGTTTCGGATTCTCTGTTTAGTCGAACAATTCGGATTGTTGGGTCACTTTGCTCTTTTGGACTTAGATTATCTTAAGACTTAACTCTCTGGGGAACTTACTCTTTGGGTTTAGGTTGGAGCATATGAAGGATCTTAGATACAGTTTTTAGATTAGTATTTTTGTTTTAATTTATTTTTCTTATTAATTGTATTGTTTCCTTTATGCAACTAGTAGTTTAGGTTTATTTTATTGTATGATGTAATTAAAAATATCATTTTATTTAATAAAATTGAGCGTAAAGCTGTTTTGTATATAGAAAACAGACATTATAATCCTCAACTGTGGCAAAAAAAAACAATCGAAATTATTGATTTGGATGAAAATCCACGTCACATATTAACGTAAGTTTAGTTGTATCCGGTCGTATATTGTGAATAAAGAATATTTTTAAGCAATACAGCATCAACGCCACGCCATTTGCTAATTTTTTAAAATTAATATTTGAATACTCATAAATCACAAATATATAAATTTTCTAACATTATTTGAAATATATTATTGAACTGTTTGTTCATGCGCCGCTACTATTTTTTTTTATTTTTTTCATCGGCGGGGTTCATAGATCTAAATAAAAAACCATTTTTTCTTGTTATATTATATACAGTTTGATATGTCGCATTAATTGTACTGTTGATGTGCCTTAATTGCTGTCTTGCTTTTTTTATTTTTTTTCATCGAGGTTCATAGATCTAAATAAAAAACCGTAAAGCTCTGGATCACGAGTTTCGATAATCGGTAAATCAGTTGGTGCCAGTAAAGTACCTTTGTCATGCGTTCTATTTGATGTTAAAAAATTTAGAAAATCGTGTGGATTATGTTATTAATTGTAAATATGTAATTATAATTGATTTTAATTTTACATTACCATCGTTGCTACCATTATTTTACAACTTTTCCAATTCCTTTTTCAAGCAATTCTAACTTTCTATAGTAATCAAATTATTTGCTTCCTGATCTATTCCGTATTTATTATGGCGTTCTGATGGTGGTTGATCCGTAGAATGACCGCAGCAGATCGTATCGCCGAAAATTTTTTTTTTTTTAAAAAAAAAAAAAACTCCCCCGAAATGTTTTTTATATTTTTTCTTTATAATCTATATGAATATATATATTTTTTTATATATCTGATATATAAATTGTTATTTGATGATCAGATCACGATATCTTTTTTTTATTACCAATTTTTTCCCTTACAATATTTTTTTTCGTTCCTTCGCCTTGAGATTAGTGAGCATACATTTTTTTTGCTATTATTTAAATAAAAATTCTGATTTATAATGAATTATTTCAGATTTGATACGTGTACGACATACGACCTTAGTATAAGTCATCCACGTACATTAAAACCTCCACCTCCACCACCTCCCATTTTGAGTAGTTTAACCTGGTGTATATGGAGATTCATTCATTTTTGTTTTTAAAATATGAAATATATTTTTAACTTTTTTTTTTAATATTTTTATGCATTATAATTTTTTGTGAAACTCGTATTTTTTTTTGTGCAAAGTTATCATAAAACTTGTTTCAGGTTTTTTAAAAAAAGAAAATTTAACCTTATTTGATTGATTGATCGAAATTTTATGCATATGTTTGTAACTCAAAAAATATTTGATAAATTATTGGTATGTAAATTGTAAATAAAAAGTTTATTTATTTAAATTTGTTGAACAATTAAATAAATTAAAATAATAAGATAATTTTTTGTACAAATATAATTATTGTCTTTCAAATTAAAAATTTAACATTATATTGAGTTATGTTTAATTTTTTTTAAAAAAAAATTCCAAAGAACATGATCATAGCTGTTCGCCAATATGTGATTTTATATTTTATAATAAATTGCGTATAGGATTTCTGATTTTAAATTTAGAAATTACAATTTTTTTATAAGACAATACGCTCGTATCACAATAAGAAATCGTTAATATTATTACCTATGAAATAATATTTATTAGTGAAATTTATAACGAATAATATATAAATTTAAACTTGGGACAATTAATTTTTGATTTATTAAATTTTAAGTCATGAATGAATACGCAAAAATTAAATTTTAAATTTAGAAACTATTAATTAATATTAAATTTTTAAGTCATGAATGAATACGCAAAAAATTAAATTTTAAAAACTAGAATAAATTCCTATTATAATAATTTTCACTTATTAAATTTTAAGTCATGAATGAATACACAAAAATTAAATTTTTAAAACTATAATAAATTTCATTAATAATTTCTATCAACAACGATTCCAATATTGTGAAAATATCCCCCGTTGTGTATATTCATTAAATGAAAGCGCAGTACTTAAATTATCAAATATTATTTGGGAGTTTGATTCAATTGCAGACAATCAGTCTTTTCTTCAAATTCCACTTAGGACTTTTTCCTCGTTCTTCCTTTTCTTCCATTATATTATTTATAATCAAGATAATTAAGAAGCAATGATTATAAATAAATAATTTTTATTATATTTGTGGTTCTAACGTTACCGGCAAGACAAATGTCTCACCGATAATCATATCACTGACAAGGGAAATTTAGGATTAAAGAATTAGGGATTTGAATTAGGGTTAGGATAGGGTTAGCGAATTAAGAAGGATATCAGTGAAATGATTGTCGGTGAAATGAAACTAGCCCATTAAAAGAGAATTATTAAAAGAAAGTTGTTCTACTGGGCTTGTTGGCTTGTTTTAAATAAAAACGATTCAATGTTCGTACATTTGAATCTTACAATTCAATGCTCGTACATTTGAATCTTTTAACATTCATTTTATTGCAATTTATAAAAGAGTGAAAAATAAGCAATAAATAATAAGCTTTAATTAGCAATAGTATATTATATATGGTCTTAAGACTATCGCTAGACATTTTTAATTTTAATTTATAAATGAATGAAATTCTTTGGGGATTAATTATAATTGGATTAAAGGAAGTAATAGGAATTAAATAATAAATTAAAGAAGAGTAATAAGACATAGTAATTTTTTTGACTCTTCGGGTACTTTTGTTTTTTTGTTTTTTGTAAAAATAAAAAATATTGAAATATTTTTGCCATTTCTCTAGGAATTTTCAGAACCTTTTTATAAGAAAAAAAAATATATTTAACAATCATGCGATTCCATTTTGGGCGTAAAATAAAGCAAAAATTATTAATAAATAGATTAAATGCATTTTTTTCTTTGAACGGAACATACGGAACATACATAAAACGCGTCAGATGTCAAGTACATTACACGACGTTACATAAAATAAATATGTCATTGCTTTTGTTATCGGCTTACGCCGGCTATCTTTGCATTGGCTTGCGTAATTACCGCTTTATCTGACTTTCTGACTTTGTTATATAAATAATAGAAATTTATTTTTAGTAAATTTTTGAATGTAAAATTTTAAATTTTAAATTTATGAACAAAAACTTCGGATTAAAATTCCGATTACAAGTCCAAAAATGTACATTAACAAAGAAAAAATAAATGACTTTGATAAAGAAAAAAAAAAGGAAATGATGTCATAATATATTATGCATTTTTTTCACTAAAAAAAAAAAAGCTAAATAATTATAAAACTTTAATAGGCAAATTTATCACACGTGATATAATCAAAATTTATTTATGTATAAGAGTAGATAAGAGTACATACTGTCTCTTATACACATCTAGATGTGTATAAGAGACAGTTATAGTACTGCTGAGTACAGCTATAAAAATAAAAGAATAAAAATTCAAAATTGTGTACTAAATTTTCTATTTTTTTTTTTTCTTTTTTTTTTTTCTTAAGAATAAAAAATAAAATAAAAAAAAAATAAATTAACTAAATATGTTCATTTATTGAATACTTTTCTTTGATAAAATGCCCAATTTAGGTTCTTTATCTTTTATTAAAAAAAAAATTTTTATCTAAATAAATACTACAAAAGATGGCATATGATCAATTCTGAAACGCCAACATACATTGAAATTCTTAAAAAGTGTAATATTTTTTTGGAATTATCATTTAAAACATTTAAAACTTTAAAACCTGTTAGAAACAAGCAAAAAATTGATTAACCTATTAAAGATTTTGAAAAAGTATATATATATATTTTTTTTTATTGTGTAAAATTGTAAAAATTCATTGTAAAAATTTTTTTTGCTATACATTTATTCGTTTATTCGTTCATTCGTTTATTTTTATGTTTCACATAATTTTGTACCAATTATTCCATAATTAGATTAAAATAATCAACATACTGTATTTTTTTATATATGAATAATTTTTTTTTAAATCACTTTTTAATCGTTCCTTTTACAGAAATTCATGTCTTAAATAAGTCTTATATAAATACGCCCTTGATGATCACATTGTTTCACAGAATTTTTTACGTAATTTCATTTAGATGCCTAGAACAGCCTTATGGAAATTCCTTTCCATCGACCGTTAAAACGCGAAAAAGGAAATATTTTTGGCCAAGATTATGCTTACGCGTTTGGCCAATGATCTGCAATTTTTTTAAGGCATTATAAATAATACCAGCTATGATTTTGGGGAAAAACGTGTTAATTCCAATAATTAATAACTAAGCATGCAGTGAATAAAATGATTAGGATAATTTTATATCGTACTTGATCGATAAAAATTATTTTAGAATTTTTCAAAATATTATTAATAAAAGTCATTGAACAAAGTGATTATGCCATTATGCATATCACATGATATAATGACCATTTATCGTGAAAATAGATGAAAAACTCATATATAGTATAAGCGCCTAAATTTATTTCAGAAAAGAAAAAAATTAACAAAATATTAGGAATTGGACCAATTGATTACTTGGTGACATCTTCAATTAATAGAATCGATAGAAGGATAATCATACGGTCGGTGAGCCTCGACCAAAAAAGTCTCAAAAACTCATTTTTAATATTCAGGCGAAACGTATGTAATGAAGCAAAACGAAATGGACTAAAGCCGCCAGTATTTTATGGAATCAGGCACCACGAAACGATAAAGATATCTATAAGAAATTATCCGATCGCATTCATGATATTCATTTCACAAGAAAGTTTAAAGGAGTTCAATAAATTTTATTTAATTATATTAAAAAATTTTAATTATATTTTTTAAAAAATTTTTCAATATTCAATAAAATGTAAAACAATAAAAAAAAACATAAAAATCATTTAAAAAAACGTTTATTTATATATTATTTTTTTATATCGTAATTTTTATGTAATTAAAGCGATACTTTTTTTTCTAAATGTGATAATAAAAATCAAATAAAATATAATTAAATACGAGAAAGTAATAAAAAATTCAAACGTTTAATAAAATTTTGACAAAAAATTATCATATAGAAATTACGCGCTCGATGACATTTAGAACACTAAATCACGGATAGAATCTTGTTCATATTGAAATGTTAACTTTATTTGGGAAATATTTATTAAATGTATTTCTTTTTTTTCAATCAACTTCACAACCCTATAAAAAAAATTCTGGAAAAAACAATCATTTTTCTAGTTTTATTCCGAAGAAACTCGGGCACGTGATCATTTTTCCAAAAAAATTTTTTTATAGGGCAACAAATCGAACTGATTATTCTATATCTTTATAATAAAAAAAATAAACATTCGTATTGAATTAGATCTGTTTTGAATTAATTTGGATAATTCAAATAAATTCTGGCTTCTAAATTAACGATTATTTTATGTATGGTGATAGTACTATATTCTATTGGTTATCAGATGTTATTTTTGGAACAATCTCTTCGAGTAATTTTTGTATATGCTCATATTCTTGCACCTCTTCTTCTTCATTATAATCAAGCCATTCCTTCTGCTTCTCGATTGATTCTTTTATAGCGCTCTGTACGACATCATCCTAAATCCAAATTTATGTTTTACTATATAAATAAAAATTAAAATACGATCAAGTAGATAAGATTAATAACCAGAGATACTTACTTTAATTGTGTTTTTTTAAGTTGTGCACGTAACTTTCAAAGTAACTTTGTGCTTGCATTTTTCTACAATTATTTCATTTTCTGCACGATCATTCTCAGCTTTGGCAGCTGCTGTTATTATTAAAAACAATGTGTTAAATAAAATGATAATAACAAATAATTAAATGTATATTTAAAATTCATCACAAACTCATCTTCTTTTGACAATCCATTATTTATTATAATTTCATTTTTGTTTACTATTCTACCATGATTATCAACAGCAGAAGCCTATAATTTAATAAAAACTGAAGTCAATAATTAATTTCAAAATTTGATAATAAAAATGTGCTACCAATATGTACACTTTTAGTACAAAGTTGAGACTGAGATTGAAGGTGACTTCAATGTTCGAGAAATTGGAATCGAAATTCCCCGATCAAGTAATGATAAATTTCGCCATCATATACTTTAATCGATACAGATTTTTTGAGGAATACGATCTAAATAGTTGTTAGGGACGTTCTCTTGCTTGATGAGAATTATTAATTCAAATTTCGAAAATTTATGACTTTTTGATGGATATTACGGTTAGGGATGGCAACGGTTATGATCATAACCGTTTAACCGACCGTTTGACCAACCATTTAACATTTGAATGACCATTTTTAACCATTTGACCGACCATTTAACCAATTATTTAAGTAAAATGGTATAACCGACTATTTAACCGACCGTTTAACCAACCAATTTTTAACCGACTATAACTGACCGTTTAAATTGCTATAACCGATTATAACCGACCATAACCCGACCGTTGCCATCCCTAATTACGGTATTACGCTCAATAAACGGAGTTATTACGCCACCAGAAGTCACGACATTAAAAGGTAAAAAGGTAAAGCAGTCATCACGTATAAGAATATCTTTAATCTTTTTAGAAGTGTCACCTGATAAAATAGCAGCTTGTGCAGCAGCACTATAAACAGCAGCCTCATCAGAATTAATAGATATAATTAAAATTAAATAATTTTTTTATTCCTCTTTTGAATTCTTGGAATATGAACTTGATTTTTGATTATTTTTGTATCGTTAATTACTTTCCTAATAAGTTTTATTGCAGAATAAAACAATTATTCAATTTCTCGAATTTGTCACGATCTAAAGAACTGTATTGCCTTTGATGTAAAAAATTGAATCGTCATACATAAAGAACACGTAGTTTTATTAAAATTCTTTTTATCGGTATCATGAATCAATTCATACTTTGAAAGAATATGTTTTGTACGTTCACATTTTGATCTTAAACGACAAAGATCACTCATGGATTGACTTTTCCCTTTAATTCTTGTACAAAATGATTTACTAGACGATAAGATTATTGTTACCAACAACGGCTTTTACTTCAAAAATTCCTTTATCAAAAGCTACTAAGAGAGGCACTACAAGTACCACCATCAAAGACATAAATATTTTGTTTCCCGGTAACTTTCATTTTCAACCCATACGTGATGGCTGCCGATTAACGATACGAATTCATCAAACCAGCATTCTTTATATCTTGATATTGAGAAATATTCAGTTAGGTAACGCAATCACTACTTTTTTAACATATCGGTCTTCCTCGATTTCTTTCATTTAATTAACAGGAAAGAGACAATTTCCTCAGGGGTGGAATCTTTATTTTCACCTTTGTAAATTACACGAATGCGTAGGTTTCGATGACATTAAATGGCCAATACTAATATTATAATAATTTGTGTAATAAAAAATGAAATAAAATAATTTTAATTATTTATTCTTCAATAGATCAATAGATTCAAATTTTTTTTTTGAAAATCAAAAGTATTATTCCAAAAATATAGAATCGTTGATTGAATATTAAGCTTTATCGCAAAAAAAGTTCAAATACTCAATTTTACGTTATATATATATATAAAATTGTGGTAAACATTTTTTATTTGTAACATATAGTAATACGATTCTTATTAATCGAAAGTAAGAACCAATTTTTTCCAAAAATTCACTATTACAAAACTTCAAACTTAATATTACATATAACGAAAAGAAATAATACAAATTTACATATTTAATAAAATATAAACACATGTGATAAATTATGACTGAGCTATTTTACTTTAAGTTTCATAGTATATATTAATTTCAGAATCACACCTAAATTCTTTAACTACTCCAATTTCTTTGTATTTATCGATCAATTTCATATAGTCATCTCCCTTATACATAGGATCAGATGTAAGTATAGTAAGTGCAGGTCGGTTCTTCCAATTTTTAAAGAAAGTCTCCAAATTTTTTAAAGTAAATTGAAATTCTTCAAAAAACCTAATTTCTCTTAGATTTGTTGGTGCCGATCTAACCAATATCTTTAATAATTCTCTTCCGGTTTCTTCTTTATTAATAGTTGATATACTTAATAATAATGATTTCAAAGCTTGACAACTTTTTAATAACGTTTCAAATTCTCTGAAATGATTCGCTGTTGATGGAAATAGTAATGACAAATATTCAACCGAAGGACAATTTTGATGGATTTTACGAATAAAATTAAGAGAACCTTCATTAAGGTTATCATACCAATATCCATAATCAATATATCTTAATAAAATTTCTCTGAGATGTTCTCCATTATTTTCAATTATAACAGAAGCATCATTTAACGAAATGAAATCAATATTAAAGGTCTCAAGTTCACGATACCCCAACATTTTTAATTTGATTTCAGAAAAATAAATATAAACATTATTAATTATTAACGTTTTTAATTTATGAAGTTTAGTGAGTACATCTTGAATGATTGTGTGTTCATAACAATCAATAAAATTAAGGAACATTATTAAATGATTAAGAGAGTCAGCTTTTGTTACTAATGCAAGAAAAATTTCTTTATAAGGATCTTCTTGTATAAAATCTTCTTCATTAAAATCATCCCTCAACTCAAAATATTTTAGATTTCTTTGATTTTCAATTAATTGGACTAATCCTTGATTCATTTTCATTTTTTTGTTTATAATAATGAGCCTTTGAATATTTTGGCAAAAACGTGCTAATCCATGGAAGTAAGAAGAACCAATAGATGTATCACATGTTAATTCGTAAAGTGGTTCAAGTCGATCCTTAGCTCCTGGAAAGTAAAATATTTGATGCTGAAGTGATATAATATTAATATACTTAAATTCGGAACATTTCTTCATTAAAAGATTGTAAATTTCTAGTTGTAAAAAAAATTGATTATGTGATTCTGAAGTTCCTATAGAAATTATATCATTCAATATGTCTACATCTATACTTCTGCAATAAGATAAGTAATCAAATAAAAGAGGAGGTTGGTGTAAAATGGAAGGTAAGAAGATTTCTTGGCTTATTAGAGATTCTTTAATATCATCTGGTAAACAGGAGATAATGAAAGAGTATAATGAATTTTTATTACGATAATTAATATCATAGCACCAAGGATTTTTCCATAAAATTGGAATAACAGTTTCGCACCAAAGCCTATTAACCATTAGGCATGAAAAGAGAGATTTGGAATCTTTTTGTAATTCTTTGAAAATTAAAAATAGAATATCTTTGTTAAGTTTAGGCATTTTTTACTCAATAATAAAGAAAGAACGTTTAATAATCTGTTATAACTAGAAAGCCTGGGAATTTATAATTACAGAGGACAAAAATAAAAGGAACAAAACCCCTTAAAATTTATGAATGAAACTAAATTTATATAACGGAACCGAACTCCGAACCAATTGGATCATTCCGTGAGACTAAACATTTGTTCAAAGTAATATTTCACAAAATGTTAATTTAGGACGTTAATTACCTGATTAGTCCATACTTCTACGCTCGATGACGATATGTTGATGCCCATCCGGCACGTGATGATGTACAGCAATTAGACTTTCAATGGCACCTCGGACTTTATAACGGTTTCCCCGAAGGGTGAAGATTTAGGCAGTTTAGTATAATGAATTTCATGTATCATATATTTTCTTTAACAATAAAAAAAATAACGGTTTCCGCTGCCTAATAGTTTACTAATTATTAATAGTGAACTTGTTCATAAAAAGTAATAATACAATGAAGTTATATGTATTTTTATATGTTTCATATGAAATATATTTATGTATGTATGCGTGAAAACATGATTTAAGCGTTCATCACATATTATTAATTACCTAAATCTATAAAGTTTATATTTTCTGAAATTATTATGAAGATCGGTTCGTAATTTTTTATAGATTTATTTTATTCAATGAGAAAAACTTTCTTATTCAGTTATTATACACGGATATATTTATAAGAAATTAAACTTTTTCATGAATTTTAAACAAATACAAAACATTACCGCCTGCACGTGACTTAATAAATTCACTACGTCAAATTAGATATCCGGACTTTTCGCCGAAGTCCATTTCACCGAAACTCATTTCGCCGAATTCCATTTTGCCGAAACCATTTTATCGAATGGACATTTTGCCAAATGGACATTTCGCCGAAAATTATTTATTCATTAGGTTATTTATTGTTTTTATACTAAATACATAAAGAATGTTTCTAGAAAAATTTTCGAATTAGCTGGTTTTTATTAAATTCGCCTCTTGTTTATAATATATTACGGTAATAACCTTTTTTTTAATTACTTTTTCGTGAATAAATATTTTCAGGAAAATAAAGTTATTTATTTATTTCTTAACAATTAATATCAGTTACTTGAATGTTAATAATAATATCCTATAATAAATTATACCAATTTTTTTTTTATTCTATTAATGTTTTTATAAATAAAAATAAAAAGAAAATAATTTTTGCAATGACTCGTGCGAAAATAGCTACACAAAATACATAACCTAAAGAGGAGAATTTATTTTAGAATATGAAATATTTAAATTTGAGATATGCTTATTCATTTGTAATATTTACCCGTTGTAGCTCCGTCTTTACTACTCCAAATGTAACCGCAGCACCACCTGCACCTTCTTCGACTCCGTATCACTAAATGGCCTGCCGCGCATGGAGTTTTGCTTGTTTGGTAACTAAATGTGCATAATACACTGGCGGTACCTATTTAAATATAAGACAATTATTACTATTACTGCATACAATAATAACAAATGCAATTTAAAATCTTACCAAAGGTACCGAACGCGTACATCGCGTGTATAATGACAATGTTTGTAACCTAAATTATTAAATATATAAATTAGTTACTATATTAAACTTATTAAATTAAATTAAAATTAACTTACATGTTTGGATAAAGCCGTGCATGGAAGAAATTTTGGGTAGATTGTGTTCCTATTATCATCATATAGAACAATAGTGAGCTGACCAATAACCCAGCGTGACTTTGCAAACTATTAAGGATTTTAAAATCATTTAGAAATGTTTGTTATAAATTGTATATCAGTATATGTTAATGTAAATTAAAATTACTTACAAAAGTCGAATTCAAACGGATGGGTTATAACTGTATCGATTACTGTAACAGGAAGACAATTTCCGATCGATCTGTATCACATCTATCTATTGGGAAAATACGTGTGATAAACGTGATCGTAGGATTATAATCATCGTCAAGAGGCTATTATAATTAAAAGTTAGCAAAATAAATCAATCAAATAACGAAAAGCATGAATATGTAATAAGTACTTTTAATCGCTTCTACTTCAGTAGCTTTTATGTTTCCGAATTGGCTTTCAGAAACCCGTCTCGATAAATAATATTCTTTCAGGCTTTTGCCTACAAGTCTGATAGAACGCTTTAATAACTCCTTAACCATGTTCACTAAATCGGCGATGATCCTTTTTGGATTTTGATCGATGCAGCATAACGGGATGCTTTAGCGACCACAGTGGCAGTAACTGTGGTGATAGATGGTCGTTCGTTGCTGCATATAAACTTTAGTTCACATTTAATAAAAGAATGCAGGAAGTTCACATCTTTAAAATTTTGCAAATAGCTGATTAATTAATTAGTAGCTATTGTTGATAATTCATCTTCTTACATTAATAATAATGCAGTAATATTAGTAATATTTAAATGTTGAGTAACTATCCCTATAAAAAAAGTTGATCCATTTTTTATATTCCATCTTTTTTTCGTAAAAGGCTTATATCCTCGGAATTAATAACCTTATTAGTCCAGAGCGAAGCGAAGGACTAAATACTATTCGTGTCGGTTTCACAAATGTCCTGTTGTCCGCCCGCTCACTGTGTGAGTCGATAGCCATCCATTCGTACGGGTACGTCAGAAACCGGAGCAGCCAAAGGCTGTGATGGTTGTTTTTCTTGACGTACGCACGTAACTTTCTTGGTTGTACTTACTGGTCGACTTTAGAATTGATTTTAAGGGTTTAATAGCCTCTTTGTAACCTTACTTTCTTTTTTGACATTGACGCTTTGCTAGCAAAGCGCACGCGGCACCCGTATTGGTTCTTTTGGTTATACGTTACTCTTTGTTTATGCATGATAAAAATAGAACCTATTATTTGAAAAACAATGAAAATAAATGATAATTTTGTTTAAACTGAATTTTATAATGACAAAACATCCTTTTTTTGATATTTCAATTAAATTTACCGTGTTTAATTAAGTTGCTCCAGACTCCCAACGGTTACCATTCCCTAGTATTACAGAATTTATCAAATTATTTACATTTTCCGTGAATGGATATCCGTGAAAGGCTCATTTTTACGGAGTTTTTATAGAAATAACGGATAAAATATTTTATAGAGTATAACGTATAAAATACGGTAACATCGAACTAAGAAGAATAAAATTCACAGAGAAATATTAATTAAATATTTGTGGCTAAATTTTCTTTGTGGCTTACTGCATTATGATGATGATCAAGAATTGCGTTTTTAAGTTAAAATTGAATTACTGATGCGAAATCAGCGTTCAAGATGCTGATTAAATATTTGTGGCTATATTTTCTTTGTGGCTTACTACATTATGATGATCAAGAATTGCGTTTTAAGTTAAAATTGAATTACTGATGCGAATTAGCGTTCAAGATGCTGATTAAATATTTGTAGCTAAATTTTCTTTGTGGCTTACTGCATTATGATGATCAAGAATTGTATTTTTAAGTTAAAATTGAATTACTGATGCGAATTAGCGTTCAAGATGCTGATTAAATATTTGTAGCTAAACTTTCTTTGTGGCTTACTGCATTATGATGATCAAGAATTGCGTTTTTAAGTTATTGAATTACTGATGCGAATCAGCCGATTACAAAATTTGTGGCTAAATTTTTCTTTATGGCTTAATGTATTAAGATTATCAAGAATTGCGTAGTAACTTTGAATTACTGACAAGAATCAGCATCAAGAATCCTGAAATATTACGAATACTTTATATTATTTAGGGATAATATTATTGATTATTTCATTTTAATGTAATTTTGATTAAGTTTATTCACTAGTGTAAGTCAATACAGTCAGATAACTCAAATTAATAATCATGAAAATAGTTTTTTCAAAGAATATTTAATACACTTGATATCTGATATTAAATTTATAAACAGGACAATATTATTGACAAAATTAATGTTTGTTTATTCTAACTCTCATCTTATTCATTATTCCCTTTCCTATTAGACTATTTAAAATATATATATTGATATATGCAAAATAATGATAATAACTGTGCATAACAGATAAACTTACTTATTATGAGACACGCGGTGGTATGGTACGCTACTATATTTTGAAAATTTTATCAGCTGTACCTATAAGTTATATGTATAACAAGTTTTGTACGGTATGGATAATTATATGAAGAATTCAATTAATTTACAACTTTTATTATCAATAACGAGCACGTATGAAATGTGTGCCAATTTAGATTGTCATCAGCATGATCATGATATAGGTACACGCTATATGAAATAATGGATGTGAAATGTGAAAGTGTGAAAAATAGTACAGATTTTACCCGTATAAGTTAACCTGGTACACTTTCTTGACCTGTCAATAAAAAATGATAAAAAATAAAAAAAAAGCTCAAAAAATTATTTAAGAAACTTGTTCTATTAATTTAGACATCAATCAAACAATAATAAATAAATAAAAATTTTATAGAAATTTCAAAAAGAAAAGTAACGTCAATTTCTTATTTGCTTAATTGGGCTGATTCTTAAAAAAAGGAATAGATTTATTATGCAAAAAAAATTAAAAAAAATTAAAAATTTTCCTAGTTGTCGATTTACAGTATATAGTTACTCAATTTATATTGAATTTCAAAATATTTAATTCGTGATCTGGAATCTTAAAACATTATTTATTAAATATGTTAGTGTTTGAATGGTTTACACAAAGCATAACTAAGTTGTACAACTTTTTTTCATGGGTTGATTGAGCTTACACTTTCTTTTAATTATGAAAATTAATTAATTATAACTTAACACTGATGTGACTTCCTAATGTTAGTTCTGTACTATAAATATTAAGCGATATTTTTTTTTTAAAAAAAAATTGTATTATAAAGCAAAAATGAAAACTAAAACTTGATGGCTTTTTTTTAAAAAAAAATTCCATTAAAATAATTGATCTGGTACCGCCACAACTAGTACCACGCACAGCCTTACATGCTAAAGTGCTAAAGTCTGTTAGATGAATTACCATTAAGAAAATATGTGAAAATTTTCAAGCAGCATAAATTAACATTAAGCAGTATTAAGAAAAATTCTTACAAATTTTTCTTAATAAATATTGCGATAAGAAGCCACGTTAGGTTTCGAGCAAAAACTAGTTTCACGAACAAAACATAACCAAAATGTTTCAATTCTTGAAAAATACATAATGACTAGATAATAACAACTATTACAAAAATAAAGTAATAAATAGCAACTATTGAATAACAACAACATTGTACCAAGCCTTAAAAATCATACACAAACTTTAAACATTAAGTTGGAAAGAAATATTTCTAAATATTCTCATAATGCTGTAAATGAAACAGCAGCGTGACATGTAATTATCTAAAAATTTGTATCATATGAATAGAAAATAATGCTTAAGGTACAGTCAGCCCTCAATCTTTCGATTTCACTTTTATAAGATTAACGTTAAAGAGAAGAATTTAAAGAATTTAATTGGCTGATTCATTATAACAAGAGATATTTTTTTGATGTAAATGTCGTGTATATTGGGAAAATTAAAATTTCGTTATAAAGCGAGTTCGGGCTGACTGTATGACCTTCTCATAACACATCTTTGGTTGAACAAAAAAAACGTTATTTGTTATTTATATTAAAATAAAGAGCAACTGAAGACGCATTTGCATTATGATTATAAAGTCATAAAGGTGAGATGTCACATATATATATGAATTAAAATGTTAAATTAATTCGAAATTGTCTATATTTCTTTTAGTTTACAGTAGTCATTAAAATCACTATTAATTGTCTAATGAACATCTACCACAAGTAGGCCCAAAATTCGTTTAATAATCCCGAATTGGTCAGTGTTATTTATTCAAAAGCTACCTATTGATGATATTAAAGAAATTCCTGATATAGTTAGAAATGGGTTCACGTTTTCTGATGGGGTAGGGAATATCTCTTTTTCATTAGCAAAGATGATTGCTTATGAATGGGATTATAAACTATTCCAAGTGCATTTCAATTTAGAATGGCTGGGTATAAGGGTATTTTATGTCAGCAACTAATGTGAAAGATAATCAAGTTCAAGTTCGCCCTAGTCAACATAAATTTGAATCACATCATAATGTATTGGAAGTTAACAGAGGTTCTACGTTCATCTCAGCATATCTCAATCGTCAGGCGATTACATTATTGTCCGCATTAGGAATTCCTGGTGAAGTATTTATTGAATTATAAGATTTACGAGTTAGGGAATTGGATAAAATGCTTGATGGTGAACATACGGCGTTGGACAAAGGAATGTTGATGAATATGGAATTTCAATCTCATTTACTGATCTTGCCAAAGCGGGATTTTTATCGTTATTTTGATGAATTTGATTTCATTATTTCGTATCATGATGTTAAGAGACATCAAGAAAAAGGCAAAAATTCACGTTGATAAAGGGGCATCTTGTTCTCCCAAAATGTTAATTTATAATTTAAAAAGAAGCTTATTGCCATTTTGTGATATTATAATCATTTTGATTATCTACAATTTTTTTTTTTTTTTGTGATGATCAGATAATGTTGTTTTTATCTTCATAAATTGCTATATTTTAATAGTCTAATACTTTTTTTTTCTCTGCATAAAAAATTAATGTAACTGTAGTACAAATTCGTGCATTTTTATACTCTAACCGACCCGTTTGGTTTAACTTTTATTTATGTGTTATACAGTCGACTCTGGTTATAACGAACCTGTTTGTACCGAAACCTCGTTATACCGAATCATAATTTCCAGAACCGATTTTTTTATAAATATTTTCACTGGATATAACGAACTTTTATAATAAAACTCTATTATATAATGCATCCAAACTGAACTTAACCAGCCCCTATATGCTATATAATAACTTTATACTTTCTATAACGAACGGTCATGTGACTATAGTAGTCCAGGCAAAATTTTATAGTGCTGGCCAGAATTGCTAGTAATTTTTTCGAAAATTTATGTTAAACGAAATTATAATTTTGGCCAGCATTACAAATTTGGCCTAAATTACCTATAAAGAAAACTAGTTCGGTATATTATATAACGAATTCACTATATACCAAACTATCATAAATTCAGCTAATTAATATGGAAAAACAAGCCAAAGTGGTAGAAATTATAGATTCATATTTATTAATCTGAAGTGTAATGAAGGACTACATATTTATATGCAAGTTGATATGCAATGTCCGGATATTCATCCAGCAAAAATGTCATTCTTGATATATATTAAAAATAAATATATGTTTATCTATGAAGTCTGAAGTGCAATTTAAAGTTTTTTAGTTATTAATAATTATAGTAATATTGAAATTTTTATAATTAAAATTGTACCTAATAATTTTTTGATCATTAAAAGTACTATGTTACGATTTCTATCTACAAATCAGAAGATACAGATAAAAGTAGTTTATATGGAAGATTTAGAAAAAAAGAAATCAAGTATATGGAATATGTGGACCCTGTAAAAAAAGTCAATCCGTTTTTATATTCCATCTTTTTTCCGTAAAAGGCTCATATTTCCGGAATTAATAACCTTATATCGATGAATTTATCGTATTATTTACATTTTCTGTGAATGGATCCGTGAAAGGCTCATTTTTACGGAGTTTTTACAGAAATAACGGATAAAATTTTTTATAGGGGGAGAATGTAATGAACCTGGTACAGGATAAGAATGGTATCAACTTGTAATGCTAGAAGATTTAAGAATAACTTTAAAAATTGAATGAATTTATACAACAATCACAACTTAATCTTATATATAATAAAAAGTGTTTTGAATGGATGCACTTATATTAGGTGGATTTGGTAAAATATCTTATTGATCATTGGATATTGAAGATCAAAAATGGTATAGATGTAGAGGTTGGAATCGATTAACTCAAAAAATTGATTAACCAATAACCAATTAATTTAACCGATTAACTTGATTAAATTAGTCAATTAGTTTAATCGATTAAAAATGTAGATTAGCATGATAAATAAACAAACCCACCCTTAGTCCAAAAAGTTTTTCAAGAAATTCTTTTTATTAAAAGAAATTCAAATTATATTACTTTATTACTTGTTGCTAATAAAGTAATATTCTAATTACATAATTGAAACGTTCTCTAATAGTAAACTAATAATTTTTATTAAAAAAAGTATTATATAATATTTTTTATTAAGTATTATAATAGATTTCCATATTTTGGTTTATTTATTTATTTTTTAAACACTATTTATAAATTCTGTAATTAAGTATTTATATAAATAAATATTTGGAACACTGATTATGACGCAATAAATGTCAAAAAATACGGCGTGGATTAAAATTGATAGATAAATAAAATACATAAACCAATTAAACGCAAATTTTATATGTTAATTGAATAATTAATTAATCGATTAAAATTAACTGATTAACTATTAATATTCGATTAATTCGATTATTATTCAATTATAATAACTTGTTAATTGATTATTAATCATTTAAAGTTTTTTGGTCGATTCCAATCTCTATATAGATGTTGTACTTCTAGTGGTGAATATGTATTGAAAAGCTTAAATAAATTCTTTTGATATATTAAATGAGGTAATTTAAATCTATTTTGATTTGTATTCAACAATTGGTACTACTTTCATTTATTTACTATTAACAATATTTCTACATTAATAATTAAATTAAATCACATCTTCAGATTCATCTTTATGATATTGCATATTATGAAATAGCTCAAGATCCAAATTATATGACGGTTTTAAATTACTTACATAATGGAAACTTAAGAAATTTTTCAGGAAAATGATCACGTGTCTGAGTTTCTTCGGAATAAAAAATAGAAAAACGATCATTTATCGGAATTTTTCCCTGATTTTTTTATAGGGTTAGAAATTCCGCTTTTATTTAAACAAAGAACTTAAATTCTTTATATTTATTAAATTTATTGCTTGTTTATACGATGGTAAAACCATATATCTTGTATTTATTATTCTATGTATGTTTAAATGTATTGCTAGTCGAATATGGTTTATTGCGCAAAGATTATATCAATAATTGTGTGTAATAAACATTTTATGGTATTTGACTAGATTTAATCTAGAAAAGTTTAATTAATGATAAACCGTTGCATAATTCTTTATAATGTCTGAAAAGATAAGGTGCCATGCAGCAGAATTATGAAGAAAGCATCTTTTTTTAACATTTAAAAACTTTAAAATGATTCATTTATGGTTTAACTTTAACAATTAAATTAAAAGAAAATAGTCACCTTAAATTAAACATAATTTTTAATATAACGCCAATAATGTGAAACGTAAAAACAAATATGATAAGGAAATTTAATTAATAATTTCTAGCTCATTATTTTGGTACACAATTTTTCTATAACATGATTGGTTTTACATGTATTTTTAGAATATACATTACATACAGCAGTGACTACAGTAGAACCCCGAACAATATATAAATAGGTCATAGGAAATTGGCAAAAATTTACCATTAGCTCTACGCATTTTTTCAGGGCCGGAATTATGATAATGTTATTACTAAATAAGTATTATATTTCTTACCAACGTTATCAAAATTTATCTAAAAAAGGAAAGATTTTCATGATTATTTAGCCTATTCTACGCGTTATTTCTTGTTACCTATTTCAGTATTGCTCGGGGTCCTACTGCAGTCAAATGGTTTGGATGGGGTCACCAAAAAAGTGTTATATATATTGATTTATTATCCCAAAAATTGGAAGGCACTTACAGAAGCTAATATAATAGAACCGGTAATTATATGATGCTAAGAACTTCCAGCAAATAGTATTATTTATTATAGTTTGTAAAGTAATATTATATGCAACAACTCTTTTAGATAATGCATCTCTCTGTAAAGTAGAATTAATAATTATTTTATACATTTATTTTATTTATTTTTGAAATATTTTTTTTTAAAAAAAATAAAATATCATAATCATATCAGTTTGTTGTGAAATTACAAATTATTCATAATCTTGTATCTTTTGTATGCCTCACTTAAATAGGAAATAAAGAAATTAATTATTACATACTGTATTTGAATCACATACTATTCATTCAAATATTCCAGCAAATTTTAATATTAATATTATTCTATAATGTGATTAGAAGCAATAATGAATTTGATAAAAAATAAATGCCTGCCCAGATTTATACTAATATAATGTTGCAACACTTGCAACACCTATATTGTAAACTTAATTTATGGTTCATTATAGTTGAATTAGATTGAGACTTGGGTTGGAACTTAAGTTGCAATCTAAATATCATAATTATTACTTATAGTTCAATAACTTTGAAGCTTAAACTTGTACAGTATAGTGTAAACTTATGAAAAATTTCTCTGATAAATGATCATTTTTTTATTCCGAAGAAACTCAGGCACGTGATCATTTTCTGAAATTTTTATAGAGAAAGTCACATGAGTTGTGACAAATAATGTTTTATATGAAAATTATTGTTTAACAAAAAAATTTGTTGTTTTTTTTCTAAGCCCAATAGTAAGGCACAAGGATAATCAAAATCTTATATTACACTTAATAATTACATGATTATAGTATTATAATTTGATTGGTTGTAGTTAAATCTAACAAGGTGAAGTTTATAATAAACTGAATATTATGTCATAAGTTGTCATATGTGTAAGCTTCCTAAGCCCCAACTAAATAAGCCCAACTAAGCTCAATTAAAACAATTAAGGTAAACTAAGCCAACTGAAACCAAGCCAAACTAAGCCTTTTATTGAAAAACAAGTAAACAAAAAATTAAATAAAAGAACTAATTCATCAATATTCTTTTAATACTTTTAGAAAAAAATTTCCATTACTTATGATGGTTAAAATACTTGGTTAGAGACTCCTGTATTAATAGACACAATGGATGATACTTTCTTAAAATTGTAACCACTATAGCCATTTCATTTATTGTCATTGTAGATGGTACAAAAGATGTAACAGTTTTAAATGAAGATACTATTATATTTAAAATCTACATTATACATAATACACATTTAATTATTGTAGTTTAAATACATATGTACAGAGTTCCTTATTCTTATAACTCTAATACTAGCTATTAAACAAAAGTTACTTTAGTTTAAAAGTTAAAAATAAATAGAGAAAACAAAACTGAATATAAATTAATGGAATATAACTCTTTAATAATCATATTTCAAACAATGCTAGTTGGAAAAAAACTGCACTTCCAAAATTTGTGATAAATGCAAATACTTTCCTTCTGCCAAACCTATATCTTAAGAAGATAAAGAGAGTTACTGTTTACCAAATAACCATTTACATCTTAAAT